CTCTAAACACGGCACGGCGCAAGAGCGCGCAAGGGCGAGCGCAAGGCGATACGTAGTGTACGAAGGTATACTGAGCTACTGCTACTGCTGCTGCTACCAGCTTCCGAAACGAGGCACTCCCGTACTAATCTTGTACTACAATCTGGCACAATCCAGCCAGCTTCCGAAACGAGGCACTTCCAGTACTACTACTACCACTACTACTACTACTACTACTACTACTACTACTACTACTACTACTACTGCTACTACTACTACTACTACTACTACTACAGGGTGGGAGTGTGTGTAAAACCGTGTGCGCGCAAGAGCACGCAAGGGCGAAGCGCAAGACGATTTTCGAGTTAGGGGCTGCAACCTTAATAAAGAACAACCCCCAAGGTCCCTAATTAAGTATTATTCTTATTATTATTATTATTGTTAGTATTATTATTATTATTATTAAAATTATTATTATTGTTATTATTGTTACTGTTATTATTATGGTTATTATATAGTAAGTTGTGTGTCGGCAGAGGAGATCTCATAGAGCCGGTGTCGCTGATGGCGGACGACAAAATCGGGTGCCTTGGATGCAAAGCCAGGTCTGTATCCTAAACCCTAAACCCTAAACCCTAAACGTGCGCAGAGCAGAAGCCCTCGAGGTCTCTCGTCGATTGGCTCTTTAGTTGCCCCACAGCTGGCGGAGCTTAAAAAAGGGGCGCAGAAGCAGGATCCTAATAAGTGGTTATATGTAAAAGATCGCGGTACTTTCATGCGATTTTCCAGGTTCCTGGCTGCTGTGAGCCATTATTCGAAACATCTGGAAGGAAACCCCCATGTAGACCAACCTCGACCCACCCGCATGTATGCTGGGGGTGTTAGGACATGTGGAAATAAGACGCATCAAAGCGAATGGGCGCTATCACTGAGTCAAGCTGTATGGCATCTTGCCATCGCGCGTGTGCTACTATAGTCTTGTCCTGGACTTCGTGCATTGAGCAAGCACGTTACTGCGTAAAATGACCGTGTTCATGCCTGGCATGCCGGTTCAACGGCCAGCGGCACCGGTGTCCGTCTTGGCCAAGCCGCCGGCCGCAAGCCTGTCTCGTTTGGACTGGCTGCTTAGACAAGTGAACAAAGAGCCCAGGTGCCCAGACAACATTCCCCCAAGACACTAAGGCACAAAGAAACCACAAGAAAAAGCCCAACATCTGACCGGACTCCACAACGTTACAGTACCGCTAGCAGCATTCCCCATGGATGTGGGACGCGTCGGCGAAGATGTTGAACAGCAGGCGCCAGCCACAGGATCCTGTGCTGGCGCCTGTCGTGGAGAGTTCCGATTTGTTTGGAAGGCAGGGATGACAGGTTTGTTTTGCAGCAAAAGGATCAGGTCGTTGCTGTCTGCACTTTTTCCGCACACCTTTTGAGGAGTCGGAAGAGCTCATGCTGGAGTTCGCGGCTCACATGCCGGGTTGGCGGCAGCTCTCGCGTGCTGACCTGCGGAGACACCGGTGCCTGCGCTTGAACCCACTATGGTGGCTGTGTATCTTCGGCTGCGCTGTCTGCATCCTTCTGGGCCACGGCTTCCACGGAGCCTTTCGCCAGGGAGGGGCCGTCCGAAGCGACGAATTCGAGGCACGGACAGGGAGGGAACCGGCCCTCCTCTCCTCTGCCCTTCTTGTGTTTAGCTCCGCCTCAGGTGGAGCGGCGAGCGCGCATCTGGTGGGTCTACTGCTACTCCGGGGGCTTCGTTGGGACTGTGCTCGTGGATTTCGTCGCGCTGATGTCCGCGCTTGCTAGCGAAAGCGGCGGGGAGGACAGACACGCTTGGGACGTCTTGGGGTCTGTGCTTGGCTTTGACCTGACAGGTTCAGTGACAGGTTCGCTTGTTGGGTGATGCTCTGGGCTCACGTCGCGTTGTGCAAACCTGCAAAGGAGCGCAACCGCACAGTCCGTTCCTGTATAGTGGCCATCATGATTCAGCTGTGGCCGCTTGGATGACAGCCTCCCATCTTCTTGATCCCTCTTGCATTCGCTGTCTTCCTGTGTCGCTCTCGCGATACATTCGGCGTGAGCTGTCTGACGAGGTACTGTAGCTTGTACACCTTGCATGCTGATTCGTTCGACCCCACGATAAAAAGCAGCGATGCACTTTGCAAAGGTACATGCTCGGAGATTTGAACCTGCTCTTCATGATGAGCCGAAGCTCGACAGCAAGCAGGGACCTAGAGCTTCAAACCAGTGCCACGAAAGCAGCAGCACTTGGTGAGCTCATCTTTCCAAGCAGCCCCGCTTGGAGGAAAGGACACCGTCCTGATGCACGCGTCGGCCATCAGCCGGGTGACGTTTGGCGCAGCCTTCTTGGTGGCGCTGCCCACTCAGCATGTTCATTGGGACGGCTTGTTTCACAGAAGACACGCCCCTGAAGGTTGCCATCGACATCTGTGTTTGGAGAGGGGTGCTCCGCTCGCCCTAAACCCTAAACCCTAAACCCTAAACCCTAAACCCTAAACCCTAAACCCTAAACCCTAAACCTAGCTCAGGTTCGTCATCGGCTTGCTCACCCCGGCGGGCCAGGCGACCTTCCACCACTGGGCCGAGGGCGAGCCGGACTCGGAGGACGCTACCCGAAACGGACTATGTGACTATGTATGTGGGAGTTTCAGAAAATAAGTGGTACCTTATTTGGGGGTCCTTATAATCGGGATCCTATTATTTAGGGTACTATATTAATGACTATGTGGGTGGTTGTCAAATTAGGGTCCCTTTTGGGGGTACCCTAAATAATAGGTGCCGTATCATAATAAGGACCCAAAAAGGGACCCTAATTTTGACAACCACTCATGTATGTCTACGTGGCCTACCAGTCGTGAACTTCCAACACAGTGTAAGGTAAGGGCAGCCTAACTGTTTTTTTGACAGGTAGAACTGTATGACTATGTAGGTACAGAGCGGTAGATGGCAGGATAGGCAGATCGACAGTTCACATGTAGACAGTGGTAAAGACTCCAGACCACTTGCCGCAGCCACGGTGATTAGGCCGGTGGTCCACCGCCACGAGAGACCGCTGCTTGGTGAGCACTGAGCACTCGCAATTACAGCAAACCTAGGTTCTTTGGTTCTGTACTGAAGCAGCCTTGTTGTCCAGAGAGAAGACCACAAGCTTTATGCTGCTGTAGTCGCCCGAGTTGCTAGAGGCTCCATAGTGCAGCTCAAAGCCAGCCCGCGCCTAAGCCAAAGGCGATCACCTGGATGATCCGCCTGGTCTTCTGCCTCTTCATGGTGGTGGCCTACCTCGGCACCTCGTCACTCAAGGGGGTCTCGCCAGAGCTTCGAAAGCCGACGGTTGCCCGCGGCTCTCCAGCGGGCCGCTCGCCCCATCCTTTGCCTGAAACAGTGTCCCGAAGATGCTTTATGCGACTAGTGTGGTCTTCGAATGATTCCGCTAGCAGTGAAGTTGCGGCCTCTGCCAATGTCTCTCCTCCCAAGACAAGAAGCCGTGCTACATGACCAAATGTACATCATCTTCAGCTGCAAACTCTGCAAACGAAACCACTCCAATGGATTTGGATCTGCAAAGACATCAGCTGTGAATTCCATGCCAGTTCGTCCTCGTGACTGTCGTGGGTTGTGTCGAGTCAATGCAGAACAGCAGCCTGGGCTGAATTGCTGCGCGAGGCGTAGGGTCTGCAAGGTAAAGACACCATCAAGAAGCACCAAAAAGGGAGCACTCTTCCTTGTCCACCTCCCGACCTTGAGATACCTTGAGGCTATACGCCGCTGCTGCAGCTGGACTACAGCGAGGCCGAGCCGCTAGCGCAAGCGGCCGCCCAGCGCGGCATCTGGAAGCTCAAGGCTCTCACGAAGAAAGCAACCCCCAAAGGGGGCCCAACAAGACCAGAAGGGTTTTCGGTTTTAGAAGGTTTAAGGCTTATGAATCTTGAGACAGAACGAAAGAACCCGGAAAGCCCGCAAACCTCATCGAAACGCTTCTGGATCCCGGAGCTTCCTTCCACGCGCTTGGTCGAAAGGTGGCCTTAATTGCCGGGGTGCCTTGGACATGCGAGAAGCGACAATTTGGCAGCATTTTGGGCGTCCACGGGTTGCCTTAGGGAGCTCGGGGTGTACCTCAGTTGGGGATCCTGAGGAGAGGTATCCTACCATGTAGGGGTCCAGAATCGTATAATCAGAGATCCTTACTTTCTGAAACTCTCAGATAGTGTTGTCGGATTCTGCCTGAGCCGCCACACTTGATCCAGGCCGTGGTGGTGGCTGCCGAGGGCTTCATGTTCTCTAGAGGTCCCGGGCTCTACATGCTGGCAGCGCAGCCGTTCTTTGTGCTCGGCACAGCGTACCTTATGGAGGACCCTTTCGGTGTAGAGTCAACACGAAGTCTTACGCTGGATCGTCTGCAAGCCTTTTAAGAAACGTCAAGAAGCTGCGAGTTAATAACACTATGGTTTCTTTGTGGCAGCATCGGCCGAGCCTGTGGCAGTGATTCTTGAGAAGGAGAGCAAAGAATTTAAAGAGTTGCATCTTTGTCTTTCGATCGGTACTGAGAAAGCCTGAAACCTGCACGTGGCAACCACGCAACAAATTGCAGTTGCAGAGGATGGAAAGCTAAGTGGCCGTCGCTTGCTGGCCTCATTTTGTGTCTTGGCTGAACTCTCGGGATAAGCAAAATGTGGTGGCTTGTCAGCACATGCTACTGCTTTCTGGCATCTAAGTCGCTTTGCTGCCTTTTGTGCTTGTTGGCAGTGGCTTTGCAGCCTGTGGGCCTGCACTTTGGGAAATTCTTGCCGGGAAGTGAGCAGAGCCCTGGTATTGTGGCGGTGTGGCGCACCGGTTCGCTAGTCCAGGCCGTGCCACGGTTCCGCTTATCGTTTTCAGCTTCCTGGCCCTGCCAAGCATGCCCAGGAAGGTTCTTATCACGTGCAAGGGCAAGCTCCGATGCCTCGCATGAAGTCGATATCTCTTGCTTCTCCTTCATGTGCAAAAAAAGCTGCGCTGTGCAGTTAGAGGGGGGGAGAAGGGGCTTACCCGACGCCGAGATACAGAACCCCAACTCACACACCCACACATGTAGCCAAGTAGATCGAAACAGAGCAAAGCAAGCATGACAAGAAAGTGGGCGACGGTTTCGGACCTCCAAGCCCTGTAAAGCCCTGTTCTAACCAGTCGCTAGTTGCTAGTCCTCAGACACGTCGAGAGAAGTGGAGGCGACCCTCCGACTCTCCCTCAGGCTCTTCGAGCTTCAGACTGTCTGCCTTCTGTAGTCCTACATATGATTATACGCGAGTTCATCACTAGCATGGTTTTTACCAGACAAATTTCCAGCAAGAGCATCATCTGCCATTGCGTTCTTTAGCGCAGACGGTTTTCATTTCTGCTAAACATGTTACGTATCACGAACACTACTTCTGTTGCTATTGATGCTGTTTTTGCCGTCAATTGCTGCTGCTGCTGCTGCTGCTGCTTCCGCTGCTCCAAGTAGTCAGTATAACAAAATGGTACCCGTCGCGATCTACCAGAACACTGTGGACATGCATGCACAAGCTTGCCCCCGCGCCAGGCGTGGCCACGAAGAGCAGGCCTGCTGCTTTAGCTGCTGTAGGATAGTAAGTAATCCTCCAAGTAACCCTAAACAACCCCTTATAGAACCCTCATAGATCCCTTTAAGGACCCCTTTCAGGAACCCTATTGTGCAGGGTTCCGGGCCGAAGTTCTGTTTAGGTTGTAGGATCAGTGTTCATGTCCAATGCACATAACAGAAATGAGGACAAGAGCTAGACACATGGATTTTTGGGACTGTATAAGGCTTAGGCAATCGATGTTGATGATGTGTGTGTCTCTCTCTCTCTCTCTTTCTTTCTCTCTTTGTCTCTATAATATGCATATATATATACACACTTATGTTACAACCGATTGTGTGTATACATGATTATCTATCTTTGGCTCTCTTTTCGTCTCTTTCTCTCGATGTCCAGAAAAAGAGAGTGTATCGTATACCGAAGATACGGTATGCATACTATGATTCGCCCTATCGTAATGCTATGCCGCTGCTGTACGTTTACACTGCAATTTGCGTTGGGTTTTTCCGGGCCATGTAAGGAACGTTATTGCCCCATGCATGTCGTAGTCTGCTGGATCGAATCTATGCCTCTCGCGCTCCAGCCTACCCTAAATCCTAAGCCTTATGGTGTGGCAGGCTGCGCGCAAGGAAGAGGACATCGCAGAGCGCGACAAGACCATCCTGCCCCCTACTGAGCGCAACTCCAAACTCCACAAGCCCTGAACTGTCAATTCCCTGTGCTCTGAAGCCCTCTACAGCCACAAATCGCAAGTCTCCGTTTTGGGCTTTCAACGACTACCTGAACTTGTGCGAAGACTGTCCTTCCTCCATGATCCCATCAAATATACATGCGCTACGAAGATGAGTATCATCTCTGCCTTGTAGCTTTCCATTGCTACTTTCCTGTTCCGGCTCTTCTGTTCCTGCTCAACCAGTACAAGTTGGTGCTCAGGCATCTGCAAGCTACGGCTGAACGGTTTGAGCAGGACATACTGGTGAAGGCACCGCTTTTTTTGTTCCGAGCTGCTGTGTGCTGCAGTCGGCATTGCCTGCTCGGAGACACACCTGGTGTGCATCTCCCTGTACTATATGGGCATCGTTTCGCACAGCTAGAACTGCCGAGTGATAGAGACGGCTCTAGACAATGAGAGTACATGATGCCACTCTTGTCGCTGTCAGCCAGGCTGTCAGCCCACATCAGTCCTGTTCCACTTAGCCTTGGATGCGATCTGTATTGTACAATCCCATACTATACCCACTACTGTATACTATGCTAGTATACATGACTCTACTATCTTGTATTACGGCATTTAGAGTATGCTATACTCTACCGTATTATGTTCTGTTGTATCTCCCTCCTAGGAAACTATGCCCTCTCGCGGCAGGATGACTGGTGCCGAAAACGCGACGAGGCTCAGAGTCTTGCAGCTTTCTGCCTCACGCATCGCCGGAAGCCTCGACATGCCCAAAACCCTGTATGGTGTAGTCTAACAGCAGCAACAAAATGAGTATGGTATAATGTAGTACCATATGGTAGAATCAAACATAGCATACAACATATCCGAACCTTGCCGTTTCTTGGCTTAAGTCCTGCGTTCTGCTGTGCCGACCCGGACTTTTCGCGTCAGCCTTCCGCTCCTGACAGAATGGGCTGCAACAACAGCAAGATTCTGGGCTGAAGCTGTATGGGCGTTTCCGAACATTAAGGTACCTTCGTTTGGGGTCCTTATAATAAGGGTCCAACTACTTAGGGTACTATATTAGGGTCCCCTATTTTCGGAAGCTCCCGTATTAAGCAACCAGGACAGCGTGTTGTAGTTAAGAAACTAGACATGCAACACCTTCGTACTGGTTAGAGAAGTCAAAGTAGTAGCGGTAGTGTCTTTTTCTCAGTACTGTTATCGTCGTATTAACGTACCAACATACGAGAATCAGCAAAGTAGCAACGACAACCACGGTAGCAGTGGTTGAGTTCGCTCACGCGGAGGCGTGGAGTGACGCCCTCTGTGGGAAAGCTTCGATGATCTTGCCTGGCCAAGGACCGGCGCCGCTGTGGCCGCCCCCGCACCGATGAAGGACCCAGTTCCTGTCGTGGCCTCCGAGTCCAAGGCGTCGACCGAGGCGGGTGCTCGGTCGAGCTTTTATGGGTTTCGATCTAGGACTTGGGACCTTCAGCGCTCTCGCTTTGTCGTGGCTTGGGTCTTGCGGAAGAGAGGTTGAAAGAACACAAAAGAAGTTAAAGTCTTGCGAAGATGTGCGATCATGTCAAACCCCGAGCTGTAAACCATCCTATGCTCCATTGAGTCCCGAAACCATGGGTCGACCTAGGAAAGCCCTAAACCCTAAACCCTAAACCCTAAACCATAAATCCTAAACCCTAAACCCAAAATCCTGAACCCTAAACCCCAAACCGTCCCTCCTCTTTTGCTCCTCTTTTCGCGTTTTCGCGGAGTGCCTCCCGGGAGGCTCCTGGAGCTGAGGAGCTCACTGAGGAGGTGGCCAGCCAGGCACCAACCCGACGTCTTCTGCTTGTTTTCTATGGTCTTATTAGTATCGTAAGTTTAAGTTATGAT